TTAACAGCAATTGAGCCATTGTTTCCATAGTTAAGCATGATTGCTATTTACTGTCAAATAGGTAAGATCGAAATATTTCTGTTTGAAATAAAGTAAAAAGTAATTGTTTCTAAAATAAAAACAAGTTTGCTAGGTAACACATTACAGTATCTGATACTGTTATGTTCCATTTGCTGGAAGCAAAGGAGTAATATATTTATTAGTAATACTGATATTTAATTGTGAAAAAGCAAAAATTATCTTTAAAAGAAACTATAAGTAGATTTGCTGGACAGAATAAAATAAAAATTTTTGTTTGATTTACTGACATTATATACTTAACTTCCCTTAACACTTTTTACTGAGGACTGTCGACATAGTTATCGGCGTGTTTAAAAGATATATCCAGTGGATATTGTCAGTTTTTTATTTATTTATTTTTTTTAGTATTTTTTTTTTATTTTTGTTTTTTTTTTCTTTTTTTGTTGATTTCGAATTATCCAAGTGTCTTACATTTAAACCCTGTATATATTAGTAAACCAAAAAAATACTATCATTATTCGACTTCTGTTTGGAATTAATAGGTGTCGGAAAAAAGTGTGAACTTTATAGAAAACTTTTTATTGTTAATTTTTTAGAAAATGTTATTCCTGATAAAAGTTAGTGCATGACCTAAAATCCACTACAAACTTGATACTTATTAAAAAATTTGAACCATATAAAATGAAATGAAAAAATATGTATTTAGCTCGAGTAAAGAGTCCTCATTTTTAAAAACAGAGATAAATATTACTTGAAAAACTTGAAGTCATTATTTATCAGCAAATGTGAACATATCCGATGGGTCTAACAGTGAAAGGCCAGGCTCGACTGCAAGAGAAAGGGCGAGGAAATATTTGGGCACCCCAGGTCATTTACGAAGAACCGCTCGAACCCGTCAATTTTTGATTTTAGGAGGAAATATTTTTTACCATTTTCACCCCCTTAACGGAAACCCTCTAAAAGGGGTGAGACTCACCTCTAAAATCTTAAATGGAAAGAGGGGTCGAATGTTACCTTATTTTAAAGATATTATTACCTAGATTATAAACCCCCTCGAGTTTTACATCGCTACAAAGTAGCCTATACAGCGGCTCACCAAAAGTACAAAATCGGTTTAAGATAATTTTTACATTGTTATTAAAAAAATAGCTATTTGTATTACTAGGGAGGAAAGTGCCACTTTTCCTCCCGCAGGATGAAGTTTACTGCCCGACGCGAAGGGAGGGCAGTAAACATCCAAGGGAGGAAAAGGCACTTTACTCCCAAGTAATACATATGATTTTTCCGCCTCCCTCAAATACCAAGTCATTTTTAAATAATTTTCTTCGGCGCATTGCTTGAAATGTAAATACTGTTTTTCGTATTTTTCTTTAGATTTTTGGGGTAATAGAGATTGTACTGTTGCATTAACCTGTTCCAAAATATCCGGTGGTGTATTAATTATATCTTCAAATTCGCTTAAATCCCTCATTTTTTAAATATTATTTTATATTTTGTAGATATATTATAGCGTAACACACTTTGAAACTGATCTGTCAATCGACCATAGCCTGCTATAATATTTCTGTCCTAAATTCGAAAATCGGATGAATCTATGAATTGAAGTCAAATTATTAATGTAAAAATCGTTAAATTAAAATAACAATTTACTGGTTTTTACTATTTTGCAAAATACACGGTGTTCTATAAATAAACGGTAAAATTTATACTTATATAATACGAGTAGAATATAGTTTAGGTCGTCAATGCCGTATAAGCTATTTCATTTATGACATACCATGACGTCACTTTTACTTTTTCTCCCTAGGGAGTAAAAGTACTTTTCCTCCCTGCAATGAGGCCAGAAAATGTATACTTTGGATAGAGGTAGGCGGAAAAAGGATTTTTTTGTAAAAATTCTAGTTTTATTCCTGTGGCCTTTAATTATTGTTATCAAATGACATTCTTTGGTCGCCGTAAAGTAGTAAGGTTTAGTTTATTTCGTTATAGAGTCGGCCTATAAGTGGCATATCAGTGATAATGGTTTAATCAATTGCGGAGAGGGTGCAAATAATTTCACTTTTTTTGGGAACAATGAATGTGCTAATAGAACTCCCAATTGTTTAACAATCAACATCCTAATCGAAACTATATTTTGGAGTTAGTCCAAAAATTTCGGCAAATGGGGTCAGTAGCTAACAAAAAAACGTGAAATGGAAAATGCTGTAGTAAATCAAGCTACAGAGGTGACGATTTTAAGGCTAAGGACACACACGGCTGTTTTCGCCGAGTCGGCCGCCGACTCGGCCGCCGCCTCGGCGGATGCTGTAATGTAAATAAATGAAGTTGTTCACACTATACTGCGCTGCGAGAAAGCGACGCTACACCGCCGCGCGTACCGTCGTTCGACTCAAATACATTACTTTTTTGTGAACCGCTTCGTGTGTTTTGGCAGAGGCGGCCGGCGACCGACTCGGCGGAAACAGCCGTGTGTGTCTTTAGCCTAAGTTGTTCAAGAACCTACATTAAGAAGACAGTTGGCGATAACATCTGGTATTAAGAGAAGTAGCATTCAGAAGATATTGAAAACCCAAGTTTCATACCTACAAAATACATCTGGTACAAGAACATAACGAAGATGATTTTGATAGGCGATTAAAATTTTATGAAATTATGAATAAACCGGCAATAAATGATCAGCACTTTCTTTTCAACGTTTATTTTTCTGACGAATGCACTTTTTCCTAAATGGTACTGTAAATCGTCACAAATGTCGTTATTGGTCCGATTCAAATTCCAGAACATTTCATGAAGTGCATACGCAACATCCGGAAAAATGGAATGTTTGAGCTAGCATTTTTGGTAACCGTATAATTGGCCCCTTTTTTTTAACTGGAATTTTAACCGCAGAAATGTATCTGGAATTATTAGAAAATGTCATTTATCCATCATTGATTGAGAATGACGCAAACAACTTAATATTCCAGCAAGACTGACTGTTCGCCAGTATTTGGATCAAACGTTTCCGGGTCAATGGATCGGAAGAAAAGAAAGTATTGAGGTGGGCCCCACGGTCTCCGGATCTAACCCAGTTAGATTTTTTATGGGGTCACTTAAAAACTGAAATTTATGTCACCCAGCCAACATCACTGGAAAATTTGCGACAACGGATAATTGATGAATGTCATCAAATCACCCTCACAGATGCTTCAAAATGTACGAGAGCGTTCTGAAATAAACCTCTATTATTACATTGACTGGTAAGGTGGTAAGCATTTAAAGGAAATAAAAATCGTTTAAATATCATGGCTAGGAATACAGTAGCCATTTAAAACTCGGGGGTTATAATCTAGGTAAAAATACCTTAAAAATAAGATATTTAAGACTTCAGGGGAGTCTCACACCCGCTAGATCATTTCCGTTCAGGGGGTAAAACTGGCAAAACAATGTTTTCTCATAAATGACCTAAGGTGCCCAAAATTGACTGTGTTTCGTTTTCAATTGGCCACCCATAGTGTGTTGAAAAACGTCTGCACCTTATAGAAAAATAACACCACAACGATATCTACTATAATGTGCACACACATAAAAATCTTAACCTTCATATTATAACATAGGTACGGTGATCGATGGGTTTCAAGGGAAAAACTTTCTTAAAACCACGTATTAGATCGACAGGTAACTTATTTTGGCAGGATATTAATTAAGTACAATTATTTTAAACGATCCAAGAAATGCATAAGAAAGAACCATCAATAATATAAATATAATAAGATGTTGTAAATTGTGGATCAGAAAAAAAATAGAAGTTTAGAAATATGGAAAACTTTAGTATCCACTGAGATAATTTTTAGGAGGATAATGAATAAAATAGAAGAATGAAGAATTAATAAGAAACCAGTAATGGATAAAATAAAGCACATTGTTAGGTTGTTGGTCTGTAGGTCTGTGCAATAAGAATTTCTACACAAGCATTTCAAAGTAAGATTTAGACAAGTCATGGGTCTTTATAGAAAAACAAGAATATAAAAGGATAACTTTCGAAAGTGATTTTGTGACAATAGTGCTTCCACAAAAGCTTCTGAAAGATGTCCAAAACGAATGTATACAAATATTAATAAATTAATTGCAACCCAACATAATTTTAAAAGGAAACTCAAATATAATTCGACAAACCAATAGTTTCCTATAATGAGAATTTCACTTTTGTTCGCCAAGAATTTCATATTCGTAAAATCAAAAATATTTTTACAGGTATTTTTTTAATAAAAGAACTATGTGCTACTCAAAACAAATGAGAGATACGAATTATTCAACTTCTTGCAACTTGTTAATAATGATTATCTATATTCAAAAACCTTTATCTTTGCAATAATAATATTAATAAGATTAAACTGCAATGAATCACGCTGTTTGCTGTCTGTATTATACGGGCTGTCCCGACCAACAGCATTAATATTTAACGTGAGATTTCAAAAAAATACAAGAAAAAGTTGTCTCATAAAAACAAAAATTTCTTTCATAAATAATTCATAGGTAGCTAAAAAATTAAAATATTCCAAAACTATTTAAAGAATAGATAAATATCACATTAAATTAAAAATAAGCATTGAATATCAAAAACGCTTTGCTGAAAAACAATTCGAACATTGGGAGTAAAAAAAATAACAGAATTAACTTATCAACTATCAGATGAATATTTATATAGATTCTCATGTATCTAAAATGATTATTTATTCAAAATTGATTAAAAAAACATTTTTCATTTTTAAACACAGTACTTTTTTAAAAAAGTCTTGTCTTGATGTCACAGTCTATAACTGATGGTTACTAACCTGTTTGGAATTTGCTGCTATATCAACACTACTATCTATTATTCTATTTTTTATTTTAAAAAAAAATTCATTTGTTTACCACAAACATAACATTTGCTTTAAGAACGTTTGTTGATTACTTTTTGTTTTCAAAATATTTAATAAAAATGGATGTTTAATACTCACTTGAAATTGCACTTCTTGCATTTGTACTGCGTCTTCCTTCCCTCGTTGTTATTTCTTTTCTTGTCTACGATTTCGGTCATAAAGGACCCATCAGGAATTTTCAAAGCAGGTGGCGCCCTAAGGGGCGAAGAATTCTTTAGCACTGAATTATAGTCGTTGTTATTAGAAGTCTTCGACTTCAAGTCCGATTTGCTGGTAGATGGCGAAGAATTTCTATCGTGATGTTTAGGTCTAGTTCCACAGCCTCCACTGGTTTCCATGCTCTGAGCACTGGTCACAGGGATCTCAGTCAGGTACTTGTTGTATTTGGTATAATTGCGCCTTCCAGTTTCGTCAGTCATCAAGACTTTAGCTGACTCATGTGCCTGATCTCTGACGGATTTGAGTTTGATGTGTTTGGTTATGTCCCATCTCCAATTAGATCGATAGGCACACAAGGAACACTCAAAAGGCTTTTTGTTCAAATGACCAACTATATGCACGTGGAAACGGGATGCTGTAGATGCCCAAAAGGTGCAATGGGGACATTTAAAGACACGTTTGTGTTGAGCTACAGATATGTCGTTGCCATGTGTGGGAATCTTTTCATTACTACTCGGTATAGGAGAATGTTGAACACTATTTGGAGTTACTGATTCTTGTCCTAAACCACTATTTTCACTATCTAGAGGTGATTGAGTACGAATTGAAAGATCTAAAGAGACGTTATCGTCAACTTTGTCCTCTGTATATTCGTAATTTGAATCGTCAACTTCTATATCCATAGGAACTACGATGTCGTTCCAAACAAAGACTTTATTTTCCATTGGGTGTGGCTTGTTATCGGTTTCGTCTTGACTTTCATCTATTTTTAGTTCTCCTTCCGTATCGGATTCCTCTTCTTCTTCTTCTTCTTTGGGTAATAGGAGATTTTGGGCTTTTCTCGCTTCTGGGCACATTTGCAGATGATTGTAAAGATCCGTGCTAGATTTACACCTCTGCCTGCAGAACTGACATCTAGAGGAACTAATGTTGTGTAAAGGTATAATAGATTGGTTCTTGTTGGTTCCTTTACCACAAGTTTTTTGGTGTTTAGCATGTTCGGTAAGGCATTTGCTTTCATGACCGCACATATTGCAAGTTAAATTGCCACTTTGAAGCGTGCCTAGTTCCAGTTTCTCCCTAAGGCTGTCGAAAAATGATGCGTTTTTCTGTTTGAAAACATCGGTTATCTTATTGCCCTTAGTTGAGGTATAGTTATTGTTGTACACAGCAGCAGGTATGAGATCAGGTACTTTTGGGGTTGATTTGAAGACGTCTTCTGAGCCGAACAGAGAGGCGAAGTCCTTGAGTACGCTATTGGAGCTTTTGGCGCAGATGTCGTTGATGTCCTTTTGGCTCATGATAGGTTCTCTAGACTCTTCAAGTTTGGGTTTTTTGAGTGGAGATAGCTGCGATGGAATCGGGATGAGATTAGGCACTGGTCTTGGGGGTTTTTTGATCATCGGTTTGCTGTCTTCTCTTTCGATGTTATGCGCTTTTCTCTCGTGCTTGGCCATCTCGCTGTCCCAAGCTGATTTAAAATTACAGTATTTACACTTATTTTTGAAGTAAATTTTCCCATTGGCGTGATGTATTATATCTTCGGGGTTAATAAAATCTGAGTCTTTACCGTTATTACCATACTCGAGCTTAATTTTCTTGGGTGTTACTTTGACTTTCTGCTTTTTAGTTTCTTCGTCCACTTGTAGCACTGGCGAGATGGGTTCACTTTTGACGGCCTGTAACACAAAAATAAAACACGTCGTTAGTTGGAACGGTTGGATCGATGATAAACAGATGAATGGCGCTTGGGATTTTTTAAATATCGAGAAGAGCACCGAAATTGTTCGTTCCGCCCAGAGTAAAGATCGCGGTGTGTGTTGTTTGATCACATAACGTTAGAGGTACTGCACACATAATAAGCGCTTTGCGATAAGCGGTATCAGCAGGTAAGGCGCACCTATGCGAAAGTATTGCCAGACTTAAGTTTGGCGCTCTCCGGACAGGACCGCATCCGAATTTTGTGATGCACTTTTTACACTTTCTATTTTAAATAAAATGTTGCTACATTTAAAGTTTGAACTTTGGATTTATTTATTGCTAAGCAATTTTAAAGTTAATTTTAAATAAATAACATTAAAAAGAGTCACTATTTATAAAATCCCAATTCCAATTACACACGTATTATATGTATGTTACCATTTAATTAAATAGATAATGTGTGTTACAAGCAAGTTAACTGTTTGTTTATCTGATATATTTAAGTTTTAAGTTACGATAAGCAACTAAAAAATTTAAAAAATCCAAAATTGAATTGCTCGAGAGAAGTCGAGAGCATGATAAATTCTCATCGTGAGATGGCATTCTCTCGCCTCGTTACGAGTCTGTTTTCGAGAGAAAATAAATGTTCGTGTCTTCTCGTCTCGTCTCGAGAGACGAACCGTGTGAAATATAATGTGCCAGATATTAGATTACCCAAAGTTATGGTCCGGGAGGGGCTCCTGAAGCCATAGAAAAGAATGTATAATAGTTATTTATGCAACCAATTACGAAATGCCTTGTTTAATGTAACGAATGAATATTTGCGGGACGAGCAGAGCGAGGTCCCACAATACGAACGGGTTACAAAAACGGCATTTCGTAACGTGTTACATACAATATTTTTTCTAATTTTGACTAGATCATTTACAAAATTGTGTTTTGGTAAAAAATTGCTGACATATATACAACTTATAATTACTTTCTTGTACTGTCAGTTGCATATGCATAAAACTTCATTCATATTTTTGACAAATAGAAAAATTATTCTATTAATTTATTCTCAGCGAGTTGTTGTTTATGTTTATTTGTTAAATTTATTTAGTTTTCAAGAGAGTGGGTTATTTAACATTATTACTAGGTTGTTAATATAACCTCTTTGATATAAACTTTCAATAACAATGTAGATATTGATTTTAAAATCAAAAAAAGTTTATTTTTCTTTTCTTTTCGCAACTGCTGACATAATAATTTTTTTCGTAATCAGTTTCAACTGGTGGCATAAAGTAGATAATTTTGACAGTTGCTGCGATTACGAAAAATTTTACTTTCTCTATTAAAATTAAAAAAAGCATTTTAATGGAAAAATTGTAAAACTAAACAAAGACAAAGCTACGATACACTTCAATTAGCCGCAAGAAATGAGGGCAACCCATGGAAAAAGCATGCCAATGAAGAAACATTAACAAATTATGATAGTAAACATTTTTAAGAATGAAATAAAGTTTGTACAGAAAGAACCATGTAAAATATATACTAGATCACCCACGGTTGTCGTCCTGAAAGTGTTCCCAAAGTCATAGAAAATAATGTACGGGGTGATTCATTAAGGGTGGCGACCATCTGTATCTCAGAATATCTTAAAGTTGATTTTTTTTTTAAAGAAACGCAAAAACAGGTCGATTGTTATTTCAAGAGAGACACTTTTCTATAATATCCTCAACTGTCATATGTCGTTCCACTTCCCCTCAATCTAACCAATAGAATTTAAATAGGGAAAGTACCAAGTATGACAACATCGTCGGAAAGCTAATTTTATGGGAAATTCAGCAATAGGACTGTTTCTTTCGTTCCTTTCAATTTCAGCGCCCTCTAGCGGGATAAAAAATTATTACCTATGGTAAAGTGTGACACTTCATTTGAAAGCTAATTTTATTAGTAATCCAGTGCACCACATAACATAGATATCTCCGTATTGCATTTGCAACAAAATAAATTTATGCATTCTTTTTTCCTTTTAAGTTTATTTTTGATTTAGTTAACATAATATTACGTAGTGTATTAAATTACTAATAAAATTAGATTTCAAATGAAGTATCACACTTTACCCAAAGTAATAATTTTTTATCCCGCTAGAGGGCGCTAAAATTAAAAGAAACGCAATGAATTCCCCATAAAATTACCTTTCCGACGAGGCATGTGTGAAACTTGGTACTTTCCCTATTTAAATTGTATTGGTTATGAAACAGAACGGATGTTATGCTGCCAAAAGGGCTGATTCAAATAATAAAACTAAATAAATTAACAAACGTATTTGACACCTTACCTTTTTTGGAATATTGGAATCGTAGGTGAGCGGCACACATATATCAAAGGCACAAATTAACCGGTAGCGAGCGAACTTATTACTTCGTTGGCGGTACATCGAGCTCTCTTGGTTCTTCGAAAAGGTCCAAAGCATGAACCGTTTAGGTGGGGCAAAGTGTCAAAAATAGATAACGCGAATTTAAATTAAGAAATTAATAAAGAAAATACATCCATTCTCGAACAGGTTAGATTGACGTAGGAGAGAAGAATGATATATGACAGTTGATGATATTATGGAAATTGAAATAAAAATCGACCTTTTTTGAATTTCTTTCAAAAAAAATTCTGGTTCAAGATATTTTGAGATACAGCCGGTTGCAACCCTTAATAAATCACCCTGTATAAATAATTTTAATAAAAAATACATTAAAACTAAACAAAGATAACGAAGAAACGTTAACAAATATTATGTTATTAAAGATTTTTAAAAATGAAATATTATGCTAGATTATTACCAAAGGTTATACTGTTATTGCCCTGGAAGGGCTCTAAAGCCTTAGAAAAGAGTGTATAAAAAGCTTTGTTTTGGTTTACGTTCGTATAGTAACTGTTTCCAAACCTTTGGATCATGCGCAGTAGATATTCGCTGTTTTGGTTTCACCATAACTAGTTCTGAACCTGTAAATTCTGTGTTTGGGTTTTTTTTGGGAATGGTTCCATAACCATTCTCGAACAGTAACTTCGATTAATTTTGTTGATGGGATCCTGGCCATGTTTTGTGTTGACGTTTTTGTAAGGAATTTTCAAATAACGAATGAGAATGAGGCATTTGATTAGATGATATTATGTTATAAGTTTATTTATAATATTTTTTAATTTATCTACGTTTTACAATATTGCATGGCCTCTTTCTTAATTAGACATTAAACCTTTTTTATTTCTTCCTTTTGATTTATAAATACTTTTTGACATTTAACTGTTCTAGAAGTGTTTTGGTTTCGAGTAAGTGTTACAGAACTATTTAGAATTAAGTACTATCAATAGTTCTGCGTATGGTTCTGGAACAATTCTGGAACGAGAATCTAAAAGCATTTTAATGAAAAAACAACAAAACTAAACGAAGACAAAGAAAGCAACGATACACTTCAATTATTATTGCCGCGTTTGAGAATCCACATCGGATGCATTTTTTACATCTCGAGCGTTTTTTTATCCACATCGGACACATCTGTCCCATTACATTTACGTATACTGAATCACGTGATCAAAGATTTTTTACATCTCAGATGCATCCGATGTGGATTCTCAAACGCAGCATATCTATGGCAAAATAACAAACAAATCATTAATGATGACAACCCTCGTTGGTATAATTCGGAAGAAGAATATCAATATAGGAACGTTTGAAAATGTTACCTTATTAAACAAATTTAGGAATTAAATAAAGTTTATATTGATAGAACCATGTAAAATATACTCCAGTTCAGTCCAGTCCACCTGAAATATTTTCATAAAAGAAGTTTTTTTGGGAAATCCCCGAGACCGGTCGATTTTAATTTCAACGGGGACTTTTTTATCTTTAATTGGGGGTGACAACCCTTTCAAGAATATTAAATGGCACGAGGAGTCAAGTGGCACATTATTTTAAAGGTATTTCAATTCTCTTTTCAAACTTGCTGACATTTTTTTGTTCTGTGTTAAAATTATTGTAAAACAGCTACTGGGATAAAAACTAAAAAAAAACATAACATTGAAGAACTGCAAAACAATAAGTTTTTATCAGCGGAGCCTTGATAATGTGATTGATTTATTTTAAAGGTTTTACAGGTAGTTGCATTCTGATTTTACACTAATCACAATTATTGTCTAGGGAGTGTTCCCTGTTCAGGGGGATGGACCTACATCCATGAATTAAAGATCAAAAAAGTCCCTTGAAATCAAAATCGACCGGTCACGGGAATTCCCAAAAAAACTTCTCCTAGGTAAATATTTTAGGTGGACTGTTTTAATTGGCCCACCCCAGTATGCTAGATCACCTAATGTTATAGTCCTGGAAGGGCTCCTAAGCCATAGAAACGAATGTATAAAATAAAGCTTTTTAATGAAAAAACTGATAAAAAAAATTAATTCATTTTGGCCCGGTCCAACCCTGATTGACGTTCCCATTTTCGTTATCATTATTTTTTAGGTATGTATCTTGGGTAAAATTGGAACGAAACTTTGACACATAACTTTTGCAATAAACGTTGATTACTTAAGAAATAGGTAAATATAAGATGGTCTTTTACCGAATCGGATTAATGGGATGGCGATGCGTCATCCAGAATCAAACAGACGCACGACTAGGTTCGATATGTGACACAATATTTTTTTTTGTCTATCGTACTGATCAAACATAATAATTGTACTGTTAACATATCCGTTTTACTTTAGGGCGATAAGAAATTGGAATTTAGGTGATTAGAAATAGGTATTACTTCTATTCCGATAAGCTCGTTGATAATGAACAGAGGCGGACTTTCTACTTTTTGAACTTATTTTTAAATGAGTAATTGGATAAATACTTTTGTTCCGCTTTTAGTTTCGAATAATCTTCAGTTAATAATTTTGTAAAAACGAAACTCGAATTATAAGCAAGAACTTGAATTTTGAATAACGAGCCATTTTCGTATAT